ATTTTATCCTTATATCATTTCATCTTCTTTCATCCTTTTATATTTATTTATTATTTTTTAATAATATATTATTGAACCCAGAATCAAAAATCCGATATTCACCATAATCAATATGCATCTTCTAACTTAATTACATACAAATATAAAATCCTTAAAATATAAAAATTATTTTTTATGATAATTATTTTAGATTTTTTTGTTTTGTCGGTTGTGACATAAAAAATTATACTTTCTATATTGATTAAATAACCAATATAATAAGTAAAACTTACTATGTTTGGTTCTTAATATAATCAATTTCTTTTATATAATCTTATTTATCACAAATATTATATCAAGTTTCAACGTAACAACACATCTTAGAAATTCAGCATAAACATCATAAAACGGATAATTATTGAATATAAAATTCGCACCTATATTAAATGAACAATAATCATTGACAATATTCATAAAAGAAAAAGAAAACCAATGAACATTCCATTCCATGATGCATATTTAGTCAACAAAATAGAATAATGAGAATTTATTTTCCTACAAATTAGCGAAGAAAATGGATACAATATTTAATTTTGTTGTGTGCGATAAGAAGTTGTGAAGATGATGGTGCAAGTGTGACAAGAAAAAAGGAGATGAACACGACGAGAAAAACATAGAAATGAAGAAAAAAGATATTGGGTGGACGTTGTGACATACATAGGGAAACAAAATAGAGAATGAAGAACACGAAGAGTTTAAAACGAATTTATTAATTTTTAACTTAAAAAACACTTTTATTGATAATTTAATTTTAAACAGTCGTATTGATTCAAATTTAAACTAACATAAAAAATTAATTTTTATAATGGTTCAATTTTTAAACGATAAAGAATATATTTATTATATCAATTCAAAATTTTCAGTCCTAGCTGAGAAATACCACACTTTCGTGACTTTCTAAACAAAACTCAAGTCCAATCCATCTAATTCATTTTATCATCATTCCAAGACGGCTCAATTCGCTATTTGAGTGCAATCAACCCATTATAAAAAATGAAATTTAATTACAAAATTGTCTTTTGAATGGACTATACCGCAATAATAAATTGATACAAAATATTATTGTTGTCCTAAGAATTTTGTATTGTTTAACACAAAAATCAACGTACTTGTAATTCAATCAAAAGCTAAAACCTAAATTCAAAAAGACAACGCAACTCAGAGTTCACAATTTCTAAATACAATCCTAATGACCAAGTCATTTACCAGATCCGGGCCATTAACGAAATCGAAAAGAGAATTATTTTTTCTTATTTTTCACTTTTTTTCACAAATTCGAAGTTTTAAATCTCTCAATCTCACTAATAATGAGATCTTATTCACCAAACATTTTAATCAACAAATTAAATATTATATATATATATATATATATATATATATATATATAATTATTATATATCAACTTATATTTGGATCGAATTGTTCTACTCACTTTAAAAACACTAAAATATGTTAAGATAAAAAAATATTATATATAATTAAAAATTTCTAAAATAAAAAGGAAAGTTTTTAGTTCTAAATAAATTATAACTTAAAAAAAATAAAGTTTAAAATATTAATTTTTTTCATTTATATAGTTTTTAATTTAACCTTAAATATTTTGTACTGTATATATATTATTGAGATGAAATATTTATTATAGTTTAAAAAAACATCAATAGTATTTATGATATTATATTTATATTTTATTTTTAATTTTTAGCAAACTTTTTCCAAAGAATATGACATAAATAGTCATTTTTAATTTAAAAGGTATAAAAAATATATTTTTGATTCCATTATAAAATATAATATCTGATTATACAAAATATTTTTATTAAATAATATACAACATTTACAATTTACTAAAAAAAATATTATAATAGATTAAATTTAAAATGTAAAAAAAAAATAGTACAGCAGTATCTTGTTAATAAAAAATATTATTTTGAAAAAAAAAAAAAAACAGTTTTATAAGGGTATTTTGAGTTTTTAAAATTTGAAGAATTGCGTAGAAGAGAGTTAAAATACGTTACGTCCCATCCCACGACGACAAGGAAGGAGTGTACGTATTTGGCGCTGGGCTGGAACGGAGCATGAAAGTTGCTGCCCACAGCCACATCCTTCATAGTGGGCCCCACCATTTGCCCAATTCCCAAATCTTTTTCTTTTTCTTATTTCCATTTATGTCCCACATGTTCTCCTTGAGTAGATGGACCACCCACCACAAAAACACACTTTAACCCACTACCTTATGTTTTGTTTTGCACAACTGTTGTCTTGTGTTGTACTAATAAATCATCAACCCTAAGGAAAGAGGGACATTAATGTTAGATTTGTAGCACAATTTGACAAGACATTCAATCCCCTTAACCCTTGTATTTTTTTAAGTAAATTTTGATATATAGATATAAAAATTTTACAATTCACATATAAAGTGAACCTTAGGGTTCAAAACTTCTAATCTCAGCTTTGTACGCCAGAAAAAAGGGTGCAAAGTCTGTGTGAGCTATAAGAGAAAACGTGGTAAATCTAAAGCTATGAATTTGATCTTTTATTACCTCAAAAGAATTGAAAATGCAAACGAATTAGAATGTAGTGCTTACACTCAAATATATACGGTGTTTTTGTCGTACAGATTCTATTAAACTCCATTACTTGACTTCAGCATAGTGGTGCTTTAAAAAAATTAAATTTTGTAGTTTGGAATATTTCACGTGGGATGTTGCACAAGTTACGTTATAGAATAAACATGTGGAAATAATTTATTGGATAATTGTTTGATTGGCTCAACTTACAAGTTACAAAGTTGCATAATTGGTGCCTGCATATCTAAGTTAAGGCATAAGCACATATAAAGTGATCTCTACAAAGAGGCATAAAAGAAGTAATTTATCCATAGAGTACACTTCAACCATCCTACTGTGTATTAATGACTCGATCAAACATAATAATACTTCACCATTTTATCAAAATACTCCATCAAAATAAGGAAATATTAAGAGGGTATTCAGATGATTGATCAAAGTTTAAATCTGGTTGACTAATAATAAGAATGATTCATAAAAATTCGTTTTACTTTTAGTTCGTGGAATTAACAATTTAGAGAAAATAAATGAAAGTAAAATAATGGGCTGGGAAAATTCGTTTCACTATTCCTCACTTATAATTTAAATCTCAAAATGTACAAAACAAAGATTTAATCAAATTATTGTATAAATAGTGAAACAGTTATGGGCTTGGAGAGGGTCCCCTACCCGATATTCATCTTTCTTCGAACTTAATCTTGTGGTTATGTTCAATTGTAAAAAATATGAGTGCAATAAACATTTTATAACGCATTTTTTATTACACGTTTTTATAGGTTAAAATATATTAAAAATTACAACAACAAAAAATATTAGATAAGAGAATGGATAGCATGAAGTCTTAAAAAAAGTGGTATTTGTATTTGAGCTTATTAAACCTTCAATAACTTAACTAAAAAATTCAATTTGATTCTTCCGAGATATGTTGCAGAAAAAATTGCCAAGTTACACGATCGAGCAAAAGATTTTCCAGTTCTTCCAAATCAGATTTTTTTGTTTGCTATTCCTTCTTGAAACATATTCCTTAATGTAGCTTCAAAGTAATAAGATTCCCAGACCAAAAATTTTAACATAGTTCTATTTATTTATAATTATAATTATTTTACTCATATATTTTGAAAATCGGATTGTAATAATCAATTTAATCGATTTAACCAAAAACTGGTTTCGAAATCCATCTATTACCTCCAAATAATCAAAGAAAAAATTTAAAAAATTGACTGATTTTTTTAATTAAATCAATTTTAATAAAAAAAATTAAGATTAATTTTTTTTACAATATATTTTAAACTTTTTCCTTTTTTATTTCATATTAATTATATCAATTTTAAATAATAATTATTTTATTATATTTTTAATTTATTTTAACAATTATCCATCTCATACTCTTTTATTTATTTAATACAATAATCATAATTTTATTATTTTTTAAAATTATTATTAATAAATTTATTTATTTTATATTATATTTATTATATAATAAAAATATTATTTTATTAAATCTTAATTAAGCCTTAATTTAACTGGAATCTCAATTCATATCTTTATCTATGGATCCGATTTAAAGAATATTGTCTCGAAATACATAAGCATGTATAAAATTTAGATAAAAAAATGAATTTATTTACGAGTTTATGTAGTCGGGGGCCGTTGGCTTGTTGAAAACTTTCAAAATTGAAAGCACAGAAGAGTGAGGACAAAATACCTTGGATCAGTCGTCTGTGAAAATAAAGATAAGAAAAGACAAAATAAATAATAAAAAAATCCACAGGGCCAGTCTTTTTAATGACACAGTTGGGATTTATTACAGGGAGAAAAATAGTATCTTGTCAAACGAAAATTGAAAACGAAAGCAAAACTTTCAAGTAATAACCTTTGATTGATCTTCATGCACACAACATCTTCTGCTTTTTCTTCCTTTAAAACCCGTTTTCGGGCATCTATCCTTCTCTCTCTTCCAACTCCAAACCTTCCCTCTTTTCTCTCCTCTTTCTGTGTGTTCTCCATAAAGTTTCAGAATTAAAACTCAGAAGAAAAAAAAACAAATCATAACAAGCCAAAGTACCAGTACTTGTTGCACTGCACTTTCTGTTTGATGGGCATAGATGCTTTTTTCTTTTCCTCATGAAGAAAATTAACAAGAAGAGGGAATTCAGTTAGCCTGACACTTTCAGATCATCCCTTCTTTTTTCACTTTGTCTCAAATTTTTCGCAAACATTCTCAGAATACTAGGACTCTTTCTAACCTTGAACCTCTAGTGTAAGGCACATGTATATTATATTTATTTTGTTTGTTTTGTTTTGGAATAGTGTTTTTCCTTTTATGACATTTTACTTGTTCTCTAGTTGTGAGTCTAGTTTAATTACTTTCTGTTTGTTCTTCAGTGAGGACTTATGCTGCTCAGAAACAGATCAAGAGCTGTGACCAAGCCTAGTTTGATGGGTGATCACAGCTCCCAGCCATGTCCAAATCAGAGTTACAAAAGAACCATCCCGTCTTTGTTTTCACCAAAATTCCGTGACTTCTCAGTGAAATGTCTCTCAGGAGCTGAGGCTTTGAGAAGCCCCACATCGATCCTTGACACCAGAGCCTTAACCCCATTTGGGAATCCTTTGTCATATGAGAAGAAGATCGAGACTTTTGGCTCCCCAAGAATACCCTCAGAAAACAGAAGTTCGTGGGACTCAAAAGGCATTGGTCTTGCTCTTGTTGGTGCACTTAAAGATGAACCTCTTCCCCACAATTCAACTAAACCAAGTAGTGCAAGTGTTCTCTTTGGAACCAAACATAGGGTGAAAATCCCTCCCCTGGCACTGCCACTACCACCACCTTCATCATCAGAATCAACTGAAACCTCTGCTGCTGCTAGTTTTGCTGCCAAATCCAAGGATTCGCAAAAGCATGCAAATGATTCTCCATTATCGGTTGCAACAGGTGTTATGAGTCTGAGTGAGATGGAGCTTTTTGAGGAGTACACGTGTGTGATATCTCATGGACCTAATCCTAGAACAACACATATATTCGACAATTGTATAGTGGAAAGCTACTGTTCCCTCCCCAATAACCCTCTCTCATCTTCACACAATTTCCTTAGCTATTGCCACACTTGCAAGAATCATCTTGAGCAGACAAAGGACATTTTTATTTACAGGTAAGGTTCTCTTCCAATTCCAATGCTTCCTAGTGATAGCTCAATCAAACATAATTTTTTCTCTTATATTCATTTGGTTGTGTTTTGTAGAGGTGAGAAAGCTTTCTGCAGCAAAGAATGTCGCCACCAAGAGATGATGCTAGATGAAGCAGGAATTTCAGAATTTGACAAATACTAATGGTCATTTTTTAGTTCCACCACAATCTCAACGTGATTCATCATGACGAGGATAAGCAGCTAGTCACAATTTTCTATTCTTGGTTAGGATTTCTAGATAATATTTTGGTGTGACTAGCATAGCATATTATATTTTACCATTTTGAAGTGTTTTTGTTTTTGTTATTTTTATTTTGGCCTCTCGGTGCAAATAGAGATAAGAGAGGATGAGGATGTAGAGTTTATTTCAAGAAATGAGTAGTTTTTAGATTGCTTCCAGTTTTCTCCCTTTGTTTTCGGCTGAAGGAGACGATGACGATGATGATTATGATATATGACTCAAAATATTGCCCTCTCTTATTTTCTTCTTATCTGAGTAGATGATGATGATGCATATTATTGTAAATGGGGACCAATTCATTATTTTTCTCGAGAAGATTCCTCTCTTTCACGAATTATTCTTCTATTATTATTATTATTATTATTATTATTATTATTATTATTATTATTATTATTATTATTATTATTATTATTATTATTATTATTATTATTATCTCGCCCCTCGATTCACAAAATTCCAGCAAATCATTAAAGCATTAAAAAAAAAAAGACAGTGACAAATAAATATACATTATACATTAGATAATAGTCCTTTTCCTTACCTATTATTACTTCGTTTTCGTTATCAAAATAATTGAGTATTAGGTTTCTATTAGAATGTTTTATACTTACAATAGCGGAATCCCGAAATATCAAACTTCGCCCAAAAAGTTATTTTTATGTGGTTTAACTTATCTCAAAATATGTTACTTCTAGAAAAACAAGAAAATATTAATTGTTTAATCAAACCATCATGTACTAATCTAAACAAAAAATTACTCCTGTATTGATTTAAAATACACAGCTTAAAGAGAAAAAATATCACCCCACTCTCAATTAAACTTCCTCAACCTCATATCCTTTCTTTTCTTTGAATATACAATTTTTTTCACTTTATACAATCAACAAAAGAATTACTTTTTTTTATCTTAATCAGAACATTTAATCTTTTTAGCTATTTCATTTTTTCGATTTATTTATTTTATCTTTATTTTTATATTATTTTTAATATTCTCTCAATAGTATAAATTAATCTCGTATCACAATTTAAATGTTCATTATAATTCTAAAATATAATTCATACATTCAAGTGAATTTAGCGGAATTAATTTTTTTTTTTTTAAGAAATGCCTATTAGATAAAAGATCCTGATGTGTATTTAAGGAATTAATCAATAAGTAATCAAATATTTTATTAGAAATAAATAATATAACAGCGAAGGAATAGATATTAAATTAGAAAAGTGAGTGTCCATCATGTCCCAACGCCATAATCACAGTTAGTTTAACAGAGCCAACTATGTATGTGTCTGGATCAGGAATAGGCACCAAAAAGGTCTAAAACAAAATGGGTCATCATTAAAGCAACGTTACGTGCCCAACAGATAAAATTTCCAACACACGCTCCTGGTAATGCCGTAAATAACATCACAAATTTGCCTCAATTATACCCTTCAACATGCTATCAGATAAGAAATCCCCACTTCGAAGCAAATCCTTATTTTTATTCGTAAAAAGGGGAACTGAGGGTACTTTTCTTTCCTTCTTTATGTAAAACAAGCACCTTTTTGGGCTAAGGATTGAGATTTTGAGAGGATCTTAAACTTTTATTAGCCACACAGTGCCATAAAACACAACATTGAATAAGTGAAACAGAACAATAATAACCGAAGATGCATGATTATTAATATTTAACTCAACTCTTATCGTACTCACTCAAAACTATCCATTAAGATGAAATATCTTAATGTATAACTAACTCAAAGTTGAAAATGAAACTATATACTATTATTTTTTTGATAGAAAATGAGAGTATATGCAGACAGGATTTACCAGTGTGCACGAAAATCACCAGCAAACTTGACTAGTCTTGTACCCACAGAATCATTAATAAGGCCAGTTCAACTACTAAGGTGAAAACAAGAACCCGTTGAACTTGGGACCCAAGGTACTGTAAAGTGGCACGCTAAATGTTGAGATGCTCAATTAATAGTGACAAGGAACAAACAAAAGTAACCTAAAAGATGGCGACCCTTTGACAATCTATGGAATTATTAGTTCCTTCGGATGAAAAATTAATGTCTTTCAGAGGACATCTTTGTATTTCACCAAATACTTTAATGTTTCCCCGTCAATACCGTAGTTCTATACAATTGTCTTAGTAGCTAAGATTTTTTTCTATTCATCTATGCACCTTTTTTCAAATTGTTCATAATGTCCCCCTCTTCAAACAATTATCACGATTGTACAATATGAACTGTTAAACATTATGAACGTCTGACACACAGTATGAATAGTGTGAACTGTTCAAATCAGTCAAAGGAAGAAAATATGGAATCATGAGAAGAGTGAAACGACCGCAACAAATTAAACAAAATAAATTAATCTCTCGTGAAGATAATTTTTTAAAAAGGGTTGAAACAACTTTTCCAAAAGCCGGGATTATTGTTTGTTTAACTTGGAAAAGACTATGGTTTTATTTTCTGCAGCCGAAGAACTTTTTATTGATTATACATCTTTTTTTTTTCTGTAAATATTTTGTTTAGTCTAAACTCTGGCTCTGTGACATTGAAAATGTAGCTACGAAGTTGCAACCATATCCACCTAGAACGGAAAGAACAGACGGAACAGACAAAATGGGTTAGAAATCGTAAGTTTAGAATTAGGTCAGCTACAAAAACTTTAGCCAATGCGAAGAAATTTGAAAAGGGGGGATTGTTGGGATCATATGGACTGAACTGAACAAAGTGACTACTGAAATGATTTGATTTTGGAAGAATAACTTATCACTGCCCGTTCAGCGTGTGTCAATTAGTTTATACAACGATATCTACCATGATATTGTTTATACAAAGGAACCAAACATGCAGCTGTCATCGCAGGGAAATAGACCATTCTGAATTGTAATTGTTTCAACATGATACCAAATCTTTGATGCGTGAGAATCACTACTGAATATTTCGTCGTCCATATTCCATCAATATTAGGAATTCAATGCATTCAGAGATCAAACAACGACATAAGACACAAAAGTTCATCAAAAAGTAGATTATCATGCCATAGGCCATAGCCCTCGCAGAACTGCTATATAAATAAGGAGAATAAGTATTGATGAAGATACATAATGTTGCATAGATAATAGTCACCAACATTATATTTAAGAAGACCAAACAAATTCCACTAGTTACAGAAGCTGAAAGAAAGAAACACAGACAAGGGACACCACGGAGAAAAACTGAAATACAACTGACCACATCTCACGAGTCACAACTGAACAGCCTTCATAATGTTTTGCCACCCTGATTAACACATTGAACAATTTTTAGCAACTGCAGTGTAATGGCATGAAAATTTTTGAATAATATGATCAAGTAAGATCATACCTTAAAATTTGGCATAGCATGGTCAACACACTCCTTGGAGATGGAAGAGAAGCCTGGAGAGAATTACTAGGACAAAGGAAATAAGCACTACTTGGAATGAACATTTCAGGGGTTTACTAGTAGGTGGAGTGACATGGATTAAACCTAAAAACTGAAGCACAAAGACTAATACAAATCCCTTCTTACTTTTCTTTGAAAAAAAACAGAAAAGATAGTGAAGGGGTAAACTACACCCTCAATGAGGGTTGCTGATACAAGGTTAACAAAGAGAAACAAAATGACTAGGGGAAATGAAAGACTGGTGAGGAAGGTAAGTAACTAGCAAACAGAATAACCATCTAGAAGAAGACTGATATGGCAGAGATGAACACTGTAAAATCATGTCAAGGAAGGAAAGAAAAATAAAGTATCATAGAAGATTGAATGATTAAGGACATTAGAAAGAAGAAACAGGGGGAGCGAGAGAGAGAGAGAGAGAAGGGGCAGGTAGGGAGGTATGAGAATTTTACAGAATATACATAGTATCTAAAGCAAGAGACCTAAATCCTATGAGAGAACATGGGAAAGTTAAAGCATTCTATGAGAAAATGATGCTGAGAACTATATATCGTAAATTCAGGATTCAACCTGAATGTAACTTTCTTCAGGTCCAATAGATTAAAGTCCATTCCATGCCACTTCTACCCATATTACCACCATTCTACATACCAACCATTTTCATGGAAGCTTCCTTGCATGATCCATAGCAAAGCCTGCTTTCAATAAACTCCTCTAGTATACAACCAGTTACCCTCTCCACAGCTAAGCTCGATCCAGTTCTAAAATGTGGAGATTGTTGACCCACCACCACAGCCAAGATTGTCAAGGGTACCACCACAACTGAAAGCTACATAAACCAACTTACACTACAAGCTTACAAACTTTATTTGGTATCTATACACATCTAACACTAACCCACTTTCATTATAAGGACTTTCTTACAGGAGCCTATTGCTCCTAGCATTTCAGTCGTCATTGATGTTAAGATTAAGAATCCGGCACAGGGTCTTCGTAGCAGAATCAGCATTAATAAAGAGATCCCTTGTAAAAGGCAAATCCAAATGCTCCCGGCCTGGAGAGGAGGGTGCGGATTTAGCCACCGGGCGCGGGCGCATTTCAATCTCAGGGGAGGAGCCAGGAAGATCAAGAGACACAGTCCTCTTTGGTCTGACAGAAAACTTTGGAATCGGCAAAGAACTAGGAGGTGGAGAATTTGAGTAGGTAGGACCAGCCCATAACTCAGAAAGCAAAAGATCTACACCACCATGGACATCTTCACTCTCTTTCCGAGAAGCTATACCATTGATTGGAATTGGGGTGCTCTTAGGAGTAACTTTTCCTTTCCCAAGCGTTTTGTTATCAGAGTTAGGTGGTGTTTTAGGAGAACCATTAGATTTCAAAGGAGTTGGCAATATACCTGTCCTCCCAGACTCAAAAGTCCTGCAATTGATATCCCTAAAGCCCCTGGAAGGTGAACCCCCAAATCGAGCATGGCCCTGTGACTTGGACCTGTTGTAGTATTGGTTCTTATGCTGCTCAACAACAAAAAGGGTCTCCATAACACCCACAATAACTGAGTCAAAGAGCGAGTTACAGGTTCAACCTACCAGATCCAAGTGCTACAACTCAGTACGAGGTATCAGAAACAAGCCCAAAACCAAAATATTTGCCGTCCTAGACAATCTCCCTCCCAAACCGAACATGTAACCCAAAACCTTGTCCACCACAACTACAACACCCAGGTAAAAATCTCACCCGTTCAAACCAACCACAGAAACTTTCTCAGACACTGGGAAAAAAAAAACAAATTAATAAAGCACTGCCACAAAAAATAAAAAACTGTACTTTCTTAAGCATCAAATCAAATTTTCTGAAGAAAGAGGGAGCACGAAAATTACCCGTCAGTGGAGGAGAAAATAAATTCAAAGGAGAACACGAGAAGGGTATGACAGTACTGTTGTGTTTTCCTCAGAACTACACTGGTTTTATGGTCAAGGTTAACTTACAGTATTGAGTTATGTGTTTGCGTGATTTAATTTGGAAGCAATGAAAATTACATGGTTGGAGGATGAAAAATCTAAAGCTCAGCAGCTCTCCAGCAGCAGATCTGAAAATGAAACGGACCTCATCATCACTCCATCCAACAATGGCATATATATCTCTATTAATTCATATTTAATTCAATTAATAAAATATATACGTAATAGTAGGAAAGGTTGGTCTGGTCAATATCGATGAGTTATGTGTTCGTCATTTAAAATCATATTTATATCTTTTTCTTTTTCTTCATAATTAATTTATGCAAGTGCTGAGCTGGATTAGGATTCTGCAAGTGATGAACCTTCAACAGCTGCTAAAACAACATTCATTGTACCTAAGTTATTTGAGTTAACCTACTGGTGCCGGTTTTCGTATCTATCTCACGTGGTATGACGCTACACGTGGCAGTTGGGCTAGTAACAAAAATCTGGGGTGATTCTATGCTTTACTTGGCATTGGGAGTATAAAGTGATTAACTAAAGCAGTCTCACAGAAAAAACCAAAAGAAAAGTATCGTTACATGCTTTATTGTGCCCGCCGAAAGGTATATCATTGCCAAGCACCTACGTTTCCCAATGCCATAAAAAAATTTACATTTCACAAACACAAATTAAAATAAAAATGGAAAAATAATCAAATTTACACTTCCTCTCTTATTTTTTATAACAAAATAAAATTATTAGAAAAAATTTGTTAATATATATAATAAATCCTAAAAAAAATTATAACGATAATAATATAATTATACCTTTATTTGTAATATGTCTCTTCATTTCAAATATATATATATATATATATATATATAATTTACTGACAATCTAATAATTTATGTAATAATTTCAAATATTATTATATACTCAATTATTATATTAGAAAATAAATATGACCTTAACTCAATCATATAAAAATAAATTTTATATTTATTTATACATTACAATTTAATTATATATCTAATTAACGAATAATGAAAAAAAGTAAGATACAAGAGTTTGAATTCTTTTGTTAGAAAAATTGTGTTTAAATATTTTTTTATTTGTTATTAAAATCATGTATTAAATAAAATTTTATTTTTAAAAAATTATAAAAGTGGTATTTTAAGTCACAACTATTTTATTTTAAATTAAAATACAAAAATATACTTAAAACTAAGACCTTTTTATTTTACAACTCGCGTTATCTCAACTTTTTTTTCATAAAAATATTATTTTAAAAAATATTTTTTAAAATACTATTTTTAATTTTATTTTTATTTTTTTAGTCAGAATTCAGTTTTCCGGACTAAATTCTGAACTGATTTTTCTAATTTTTTTTAGTTTTTTTTATTAATTTTATAAATATATTTTTTTATAATCTAAATATAATTTATTTTTAAGTTTATAATTATTATTTTAATTTATACAATATATATATAATTATAATTTATATAATATATATAATTTATTTAACATTAAAAATAGATATATTTTTATTAATTTTATAATTATAATTTTTTTAAGGTTATAATTCTAAATATAATTTTTTTAACTTTGTAATTATAATTTATATAATATATATAATTTATAAATAGTTATTTTTTAAAATTTTAATTGATATATATTTTTTATTTGTAATTATTTAATGTATATTTAAAGTAATTTATTTATATGTTTATAAATAATACTTTATAATTTTATTTGTATAAATAAAAAATAATTACTCTAAATTAATCAAGTAAAGAATAAATTGTATTAATTGAAAAACTCATAAGTTTTATAGTACATTGGGACATTTCTTATGTTATGACTAGGGGTATGACAATATAAACATTTTTTCATCCTATTTTGATTTTTTGTAATATCCATCTCAGTTTTTATACGACTTGATTTTGGTCGGTCCTTTGAACTTCTTTTAATTTCTGGATTTGCATACAAAGTAGGTCATGTGTATATTGGTCAATATTCTTCAATTCGCAGCAACCCAAATTGTGCTTTGTATACCTTTGAAACTTGTTGTAAGGTATACACCGGATGAATGTAGTTGTTGAAGTCATGGTGTGCATGCTTGCATGCAGCAAGAACATGTGAACAAGACATGTGAAATTTCTGGAATTTTCCACAGTCACACCACAACTCATCAAGAAGAACTGCAAACCTCCCTGCTGATCGAACTTCACACGGGTTTTATGTTTCTCCTACTACAAATTTTGTGGTAGATCTATCAAAAGTTATGACCCTATACGTGTTCGCCTGTGTTTGTGCTTCCTCTAAATTTGTGGTCAAAATTTCATAGTATACATGACCAACATTGATCATGACATCTGTTTGTCTCCCTCTTTCAATGAAAAATTTGTTGCAACGGGTGTACGTTGCATTGACCATGGCATATTTCTTTTTTTTTTTCAAAACAGAGTTGGTAGACTCTGCTATGTTGGTCGTCATGTGGCCTCAAGTCGTCAATTGTCCCATGCAAGTGCCCATTTTTCTCTAGGTATCTCATCCAACCAATTAGCTGCTTCTATGTCATATTGCCTCAAGATGTTGTAATAGTAGTAGATCAGTCATCCCATATGCTACAACAATATTAAAAAAACATAGTTAATATAAATATTTATTAGCAACAGTTAAATAATGAATAAATTGTAACAAATTTGAAGCAAAGAAATTACTCATATTTACAACATCTTTTCTTAGTGCGGTGTTTTTGAAACATCTCATTAAATTCTGTGCATTGTGTCTAATCCAGTAGACATGCACTGAATTATTTTCTGTCTATCCGTTTCCATTTCTCATGTATGCACTTCTAATGGATTCATGTCGGTCTGATATGAGACATAATCCTTGCTGGGGTGTGACATATCTTTGGAGGTTTTTTAAGAAAAAAAAATCAGGCATCACTTGTTTCACCTTCGACCACTGCAAACGCAATGGGGAGGATGTTGTTGTGGTCATCTTGTACTACTGCAACCAACAAGATACCTCTATACTTTTTGTACAGAAAAGTTCCATCCACTTGAACAATGGGTTTGCAGTGAACAAATCCATCTATGCATGGCCTAAACGTCCAAAACACACACTTAAAAATATTTGAATTTTGTTGAAGGACCTCACATTAGTAAGTTGGTTGTGACTGCAGTTTGTAGATGAATCCGAGAATAAATTGTTGTATGGCCTGTAAGAAACAAGACAACTTCTTATAGAATCCTCCCAATTGTCGTAAATGGTCTCCACTGCCTTTTGTTTGGTCAGTCAGACCTTCCTGTACGTTATAGTGTAACACGTTGTTAATTAGATGTGAGTATGATTATGGAGATTGGTGTTGACGGATCAACATCAATTATTTGACCAATTGTTTGGGAAATCATTTTATATCCCAACTTGTTGTGGTATTGGCTGATTAATGGCGAAACGCATATATGGTGCCCTTCAAGCTTCATAATCTCCCAATACTGCTCTCTTGTGCACCATATTGTTTGACATCTCCAGCTGCATTGATTATCAACACATTGAACAACGTATCTACTTTGTTTTGAAATTTTCACCTTGTATGTGCAGTGATTGACAACGTGAAAGCAGTTGATGGCATCTTGAACTTGTTATTTTGTTATGAAACTTTGTCCAAGAAATAGAGTTCCTAGCAGATAAACAAAAGACTCTCTGTCCAACTCATGACCATACTCTGAGTCTTGTTGTTGAATATGACTTTCAAAGTTAAGAAAATGTTGTGGTGGGTTGTATGGTTCCATAAAGTTTGGTGCATATGTAGGGATATGTGGTTGTTTGTCCTCTGAATCATCTTGTTGTTGGTTAAGAATTTCATCTTCGTCTTCATCCTCACTAAAAGGATCAACGACTTCAATTGGGAGGCCAACAATTTTGTTCTCTTGTGTGGGTAGTTCTTCGTTGATGTTGGTGGAAGGCCCAGTTAGAAGTTGGGTAAAAGGGATGTAGTCATTATCTGTGGGTATTTCTGGGTCAGTGTTTGGGAAAGCTTGGTAGGGTGAGAGTGAGATTTCAGGCAAATGTGAGTTGGGGTATGAAGAAGAAGAAGTTTCAAAAGTAGCAAAAATTTCAAAACCACATGCACTTGAGTTTGAGTCATGAACATCGAAAATGGTCTCCACGTTGTCATCATCTTTCAACTCAACAGTAATGAAGTTGTTGATCCAACTTTGACTCTAGTTAGGCAGCATAAATGGATGATTGCAACATTTTTGTGGAGTTCTTTCTCCACGTTCCTGTGGATCAACTTCTTCAACCTTTGTAGAGAAATTCCTCTCTTCAAATGAACAAGTTTTGCGGTCCCAGTATTGAAGGTAACTCCCTTCATGGGACATGGGTTCATGGAACCATCATAGTGGACAATAGTAGACACTACACCCATTTTAGGAGTGTGGAACAAAAGGAAGACTAAAGGTAAGAAGAAGAAAGAATGCAAAGAGTTTCAGAGATTTAGGAGTGTGCAATGTGAGAGTTTCAAAGAATGAAAGTTGTCTATTGATAATGAAGTCCAATGGTTTGAATCCAAGGCTCCCTTACATGGC